TCACGCGTCACACCGCGTGTACTTTTGGTTTGGGGTCAATAACGTTCAGTGACAGCAAAAGCCGATTGCCTGAGTAAAGTAACCAACAACTCGTTGTTCGTTACTCGTTACTCTTTTTTGCGAAGCGAAAGTAAACACAACCAGGCGCAGCAGCGTAATATAATTAGGCGCGCAGCGGCTCTAAAGCAATTTTAAAGCTTTTTTTGCTCACTCAGTCATTTTCAAGTTTTCAAATATTATCTGCGAATTGCGTTTTTGCTTAGCTTTTCAAGCTGCTTCGATGATAATCTTTACATTATTAATTCTGTTTGCCAAGTTCTCATGCTTTGGGGTTGTACGTATGAATGCTTTACTTGTACATATGTATGTATGTGTGCTTTGTTTACTTTATTCACATTGTTGTGTATTTTCAGCATTTATTTACACACACTTTTATTGTACAATATTTATCTATTGTTTGTAATTATGCATTGCGCTTTTGTTTACACATATGGTCGCTTGAAGCTTTTAGTATATTTATTTCTCGTGAACTTCGCCGTCTTATTGATCGAAGTGACAGCGTCATAATTCATTTGCAATTTTACAACAGGCGCCCAGGTGAATTTTTAATATCCACCAACAATACTTTGCAACATGGTGTTAATTTTCCCATTGCTCCAAAAAAAAAAAAAAAAAAAAAAACGATCTACATACATATATGTACATATATATATATACAACATATGTATGTATATACAGTATGTGTTCTTTTCATGCTCATAAGTTCAAGGCCAATAGGGGTTTCGTTAATAGTTGCTCTAGGCGAGATTTAGAACTCGATTTTACTTCGTGGTTGACCTATGTACAGCTCTGGAAGCTTCCAAACTCACATTACCACCTCACATTTTTAATATTTTTATTTTATTTTTTTTTTAATATTTTTCTAATTACGTAAATTGTGCTCAAAGTTAATTCGAATGACTATCTGTAAGTGTTTTCCATTATCACTTCAAAATTCTCATATTAATTTCGTGAAATATATCTACATACATATAGTCACAATAAACGGTAGCCTCGGTTCGTGCAAAATGACTGTAATTAACGAAATCTCAATTGTTTTTCGCCTCAAACTTGCTTAAATTCATAATTTGTGTGAATTTTAAAGTCAGTCATATTTAACAATTACTTCAAAACTCTGGCCCGACTCTGATTATTTCTTTTTATATTTGGACATTGGCGTTTTCGAGCGTTTTTTCGAACTTCTTTTTGTTTTTGTACACCTTCATTTTTATTTTGACTTTGTTTCTTTTCCTCCTGGCGCTTACCGGTTTTATTTTTTTGAAATTTCGTTGGTTTTTTCGCACTGCGCAATTAAATGCGAATGAAATGAAAGAAAAATGCTCCAGCGAGGCTCATACCAACGTTGAGACTCATACAAACATACATAAATACACTTGACAACACCGCATTCACCGCTAACCAATCAGCCAAATAACTGCCCAAATGGCCAAGCAAAACCAAAGTCAACCAATGTGCAAAGTTAAAAAGCCAACAAATCAGTCAGTTACGCACACACACACACACTCATATATATAAACTCGTATATATTGCTTTCATTCGTTTGTTGGTTAAATGAAAACTTTCCCAGCAAACTTTTCTACTCCCGTCATTTAGTTCAAAGCGAAAAAAAATTAAATAAACAAAATAAAATAAAATAAAATCAAATAAAAAAGATAAAATAAAATAAAATAAAATAAAATAAAATAAAATAAAATAAAATAAAATAAAATAAAATAAAATAAAATAAAATAAAATAAAATAAAATAAAATACATAAAAGAAAGAAAAATAAAATATATAAAAGAAATAAAATAAAATAAAATTTATAAAAGAAAAAAAAATAAAATAAAAAATTAAAAGCAGACACTCATATGTATCTTCAGCTAACTTTTGTTTTACTTTCGTATGTCGGCACTATGTTTTACTGCAATGCCAGATAACTGTTAATGTGGTTAAGTGCTTTGTACAGCTTTGAACGATTGTGCCCGTTTGTGTTTGAGTTTTGACAACATTTTTTCTCAAGTTTATTTAGTTACAAACATATGTACATACATATATATATATATTTTATGAGTATTTCTATTTTTTGTTGTCGCGCTCCGAAAGTTTGTTAACGGAAAACAGCAACCGTCAATAACCAGATTGAATGCAAACTCTGTTACATACATATGTATGTACATTTATATTATTGTATTTGTATGAATGCTTGTTTTCCTTTCTTAACTGGATTCACCGGCAGAGGCGTCAACGGTTTATCGCCATTGTGACAACTGTCAGCTGTGATGATTTATTTATTATGAACGCAGCGAACAATTAGTCGCCATTGCGTTCACAAAATTTTTCTACATACATACAAACATACATACATGCTTTGTTTTTTTGTACTTTGCGAGTGTAATTAAAAGGTGTCGCGACATCTTTTTGTTTCCCTTTATACAAACATAAATGGGTTTTGGGTGGCATGCCGTTTTCTTAACTGTTAACAAGAAAAGTTACTTGAAAATCATTTAACCGTTATGGCGCTACCGAGATGACCTCTTTTTGCGGCGCGGCGTTGACCTATAAACCTGGCACTAAGCGTAATTTTTAAAATATAAGAAACGAGTTTGATGTTTTTCTTTAATATTTTGTTTATTATTTAATTAAATTTATTATTATGTTGCTTTATTTCGTTTTACTTTGTTTTAATTTATTGAATTTAGCTATTTAATTTATTATTTTTAATTTTGTTTTAATTTAATTTTCTTTAAATATTTTTTTTGTTTTGGTTTTTGTGTTATTTGGTCAGCACTGCTTTAACCGTTAGCCTTGCTGTTAATTTCAAACAGCCAAAATATTACAGCCTGAAGTGACTTATGAATGTGTGTTTGATATGTATGTATGTATTGCCGTATTTTAACCCGTTGCTAACCATATATTCTATTAACATCTGCTCTGTTTTCACCGAAAGCCAAGGTCATCATTTGATCTTCCTATTTTCTTTTTGTCCAAGCGCGTGTGTGTCTCATCCGTGTTTCGCAATGTTAGCTGTAGTTTGCTTTCATATACATACATACAACTATTATGCCAAACTTTTCAAACACGCATCTTCACACGCACACACATACAAAATAAATTTTACTTCAATTTGACTTAATGCTAATGAAATTATTTACTTTTCTTCACATTTTTATACAGATTTTATTACTTTGCCTTCCGTTTACTCATTTTTTTTTACTATTGACGCTGATGCTAAACGTTTGCACGCGTTTTATTTTGCATCATTTGTACGCATTTGAGTATGTATGTGTGTATATATGTATACTCGTACATAAATATATAATCATTTGCTAGTGTTTTTTCTTCTCCTTCTTTTGCGTGTGTATTTAATTCCAGTGTTTATTGACCCAACGTTTGCCCTCGATAAGCGTATGTTTGACTATAATATTAGCAAGCACTTGTTAGTTTGCGTGTATGTGTTTGTTTGTGTGTTTGTGTGTGTGTGCAAGTGATTTATAATACTATAAACAAATTATTAAATAGGTTTCTACTTATCAACTGTGTATTTTTATTAACAGTGTAATTAATTAGAGCAGAATGAAACACTCATACATGACAACACGCATACATACGCAAGTATAATAACCGACCGTTTAGGTTATATTTTAAAAATATTTCTTGAAGGTTAAAATTTCAGTATTTGAGAAAAAAGTTAAAAGCAGCCTAAATGTAGGCAACTTTTAGCTTCAGTGTATTCAATAATATAAAGTTAGCCTACATTTTGGCGCTTAGTTAGACAGTGTCAATTACATAATTTTTCGGTGTTATTTAAATTTGATTGCTTTATAAATTTTATAAAAGCTTTAATAAATATTTTTTTATTATTATTTTTAAAATAAACAAAATGAATTTAAAATCGATTATTAATAAAATAAAAATGACGCAAATCTTGAATAATGTGTTTAAATAAAGAATATACGAGCATTATTTTATTATCTAAGCTAGCATATAAACAATTGGTTGAACTAAATAAAAGTTCCAATTTCCATTTTATTTGGTTGATAACAAGGCGAGACAATCAATCATTTTGCTGTCACTCCGTACCGAATCGCCGAGTGAAAAACCTGAAATACGGTTTTACTCGCCAATATTGAAATGATGCAGCTATTTGTATAGGTATTCAAAATTATACAATAACAATGTGTTGTGCATTTAATTGCTCGGGTTGTTTAGAAAAAGCCGGAAATTCGTAGATAAATACATATTTTATTTAAACTATATATTTACTGTTTTTAGCATTTTTAATACATATGAAAAGGAAATTCCGAAAAACTCATAGTAAAATATTCATAACTCTGCCAGTGTGACCTCCCTACCAGAACCCCTCGGGAAAAATGGGTTCATCTACGTTGACAGTAGAACTCATAACGGTATAATCCTAAGTGAAAAAAATCGTATTTTACATAATAAAAGAAAATCAAATTTTGATAAAACTCCCTTAAGATTTACAAATACCTTCATCAAGATCGGTTGAGTTTTCGAGAACTATTGACAACCGACTTTGAGACCACACAGCTTCGAGAAAAACGCGTTTAAAGTTTAAAGCGCGCAATTTCCCCTGGCTAATTTTTATTCGAATCGAATCGAAGATTTTGGATAATACATTGAAAAAAATTCGATTTCTCGAAACTGTGAAAGCCATGTAACAATCAATTTTGGTTAACAAAAAAACAAAAACAAAAAGATCTTTTGACAAATACCTCAAAAACATACTAGGACTCGGTTAGGTTAAGCGTAAATAGTAGATCAATCAATGGAAACACTTAAATAACAAGAAGCAAATAGACCGCGCCTAAAGTTATGCAAAGATTTACGGTGCTCTCGTAAATAAGCATATTTATGACTATAAAAAGCGATTATTTTTTAACAAAACCAACATTTTCTCCTCAATTAATTTGCATTTCCTCTATTTTACGCTTTCAGGCGGATGATAAATCACTACTTGCTCGTTTTTACCATGCAGATCGTTCACTCACAGCCGTTGCCAGCGAATTGGATAGCTTCGACGGGCGTGCAGAGCCAGATCGATGTTCACGTTTGGTCAGCCGACTGCGTCAGGGGCAGGTAGTAAATTATTTGCATATAATTCAGCGAATAAAAATTTATTAATATATTTCCGCTTCATTTTTTATTCCCTTTCACATACCTTCCGATCGCACTTGAAGGACAAAGTACTCTCCATTACAAATCTAATAATGGAAGAACTACTTGGAGACGAACGTCACCCCCGTGCATTTCGTGCAAAATTTCCCGAAGAAGTGCTCCAGGATAATCTCGCCGGTCAATTGTGGTTCGGCGCAGAGTGCCTCGCTGCCGGTTCGTCGATAATGCATCGCGAGCAGGAGAGCAAAGAGATGCGCCCTTTGGCACAGGCGGTGACGAAGAGTTTGGGTAATGTGCGTAGCTTGTTGCGTGATCAGTGCCTTCGAAATAATGTACCGAATAGTAAAACACTTCATTTGGATATCAACGATTCGACCACAGAGCAGCTGTATGAGAGTCTGAAGATTTTCGACCGTCTCTTCGCCGAATTCGAGCTACGTTATGTCAGCGCGATGGTGCAGGTTAAAACAAAGGAGGAATACGAGATGCAAGAGCTAATATGTGTGCTTTTCTCCGAGACTTTGCAGCGTGCGCTCAAATTGGGCTTGATCGATCAGGATAAGGTGGACACATTCGATCCGGCTTTGATGTTCTCCATTCCACGTTTGGCCATTATCACTGGTTTGGTCGTGTTTCCGAAGGGACCGCTGAATATGGATATGCCGGCGGATCAGCTGTCGGAAATGTTTCGACCCTTTCGCACAATACTCATAAAAATACGCGATCTGTTGCGTACGTTGAGTAAAAGTGAGCTGCAGCAGTTGGAGAAGTTGCTCTGTACCAACGAGGATATCCAGCTAAATGTGAGTGTGTAGCGACGGTTACTATACTTGTAGTATAGCTTATGTATGTGTTGTTTTAAGATATACCCATATATGTTGATATATTCTTTACTTTTCTCCTACTTCAATCAGCTGCCCGTTGGCGCCAGCAGCATCGAGGCGCCGACAGATGATCAGCAGAACAATAATAGCACCACCACCAGCAGCCCAATTATGGCAATCACATATAATACTGCCGACAGCACAGCTGTGGAAACAACAGTGCCAGCAGCGGAACAACGAAACAATAACTTAAGCAGCACCTTGCCCAGTGCGGCTACCTGGGAGACTCAAGTTCCTACTCCTAATTCCAGCACAATGAGTTCAAATGATCCTGGAGGAGCTATTGGAAGCGCCAATAATCGTAAACGTCATTCCATATCTTCAGCATCGGGCGCAAGCTCAGTGATTTCCTCACCCGCCATTTCACCTACTCCATCACATTCCATCGCGTCTACTACGTCCGCCGTAACCAATAGTTCGACTACCTCACCGGCGGACTGGACCGATGATGATGTTGAAGATGACGATGATGAGGTAGATGATGACCGCGATGTTGACGATGATGACGATATGCTCGTCAATACAGACGACCCTGCTGACGACAGCGATGACGACGAGTCTGACGATGAAGTTGTGATCGGCGAATGTGAAAACGAAGATATGGTGTCTGCCGATTGCGCTACCGGCTATCTCATTCCAAATACAAATTTCGGCAATCTTCTACAGCCGCAAGAAGTTCCTTTGACGGGTAATTTTATTGCTAGTGAAGACGATGCTTCCAGTAATGCCAATGTGGAGGCTGACGACGAGGAAGATGAGCATATTTACTCAGACGTGCCCACTACAAGTGCGGCGCTAAGGCGCCTACATCTCGGCAGTCAGACCGACGATGGTGGTGATAAAACGACAATAATTGCGGCCGCAACTGCGATAATAACAACAGCAACAACACCCTCGCCAAAATCATCACCTTCACAAGGCAGCAGTGAGAATCTGTCCAGCGTCAACTGCAGTCTAACAGAAAAAGTCTCTACATGCAGCTGTGAGCCTATAACTTCGTCCTCTTCATCCTCCACTCTACCACAGAGTAATAAAAGCACCGGGAGTGGGAAACAGACAACGCAAAGGCATTGTAGTAGTCATCACCATCGACATCATCATCACGAGCACAGCTGTTCCACGTTGGGTACGCAGTCGCACAGCCATCACAGCCCTCCAAGTCGTCATCAACCTCATCGTAACCATCATCACCATCATCATCACCACCATCACCATCATCGGCATAATCGCAGCCGCAATGAACATGAAACGAAGGCGAAAAACAGTGAGGAAGGTGTGGGCAATGATTTGCAAACAGATCAACCACAGCTGGTGGCGAGTCCTAGTGAGGAGATCAAGAAAGCAAGTCACAATAGTCAGACTTCCTCCAGTGCAGCCAGCAGCGCAACATCTTCGTTATCGGAAGCCGTCGTTGATCCGCTCCAACATCCCAACGAAGTAAATCAGGCTATAAAGGTCGCCACACGTAAGCGATTCAAGTAAGTATTCAGTCAGTTCAGATTAGTTGAGACACACCTAAGCTACTTATTACTCCCATTTCTTACAGAAGTATCGAAAATCTATTGCATCGCCTCTTCGTGTGCATTGCCGGTGTGGCTGATCAACTGCAGACCAATTTTGCAGCTGATTTACGCCAAATACTGCGCAGTGTTTTTCTCATGAACATGTCCCCTACGCAGGAAGAGCTGGACATACCCGAAAAACCAAAGGAATCAGAACTATTTGAGTTCCGCGCTTCCGAACAAGATGTGATACAGGAGAATGCCGGCTCCAACCAGAGCATTTATTCCGCTGAAGAAGTCAATCCCGAATTGGATAGTGTTTTCCACAATAATAGTGGTGGCGGCGGCGGCAGTAATAGCAGCAGTAGCAACAGCATTAGCGGCAACGGTATTACTACACGTCATTCCCTTGATGGTGCTATACAGCGTGGCAACACCATAGATTTGTCCGATCCGAACGCCGCTATTTCCGATGGAACGACGAGTCGCGCGCACGTCTGCCGTAGTCGCAGTTTGGGTGATCAAGACCATCGTGATATAAGCAACTCAACCACTGCCACAACGTCCGGCACAACAACAGTTGGCGTGCAGAGTAGTCGCCTTAGCGCATACATAAGTGGTCAGCGACAACGACGAAACCGTAATGATTCAATAGGCAGCTCATCGCCCATATCATCGTCAACCTCAACCTCCTCTGCCTCATCTGAAAACAATTCGCCCGTCAGTCAACGCGCCACAATACCGAACTCCCCCGCCAACAGTCATAACAACAATAGCAGCAGCAGCGGCGGTGGCGGTAATAACGCGCACAATAATAACAACCCAGCTGCAACAACAACCAGATCCTCACCACCGTCCGTCAGTTCCGCCATGAACAATGCCACCGCCGCCGCTAACATACGCAATGCCAGTGTGAGTGCACGTCTCTCGCCGCCCGCTTGGGTGCCGGACGACAAGGCGCCGCGTTGCATGGCCTGCCGCACCCAGTTCACAGCATTCCGACGTCGTCATCATTGTCGCAATTGTGGCGGCGTGTTCTGTGGTGTCTGTTCCAATGCCTCGGCACCGTTGCCAAAATATGGTCTGACGAAGGCAGTGCGCGTGTGCCGTGACTGTTATGTACGTGAGATGCGTTCTAACACGACAACAACAACAATGCCAACAACTACTGGTAGCAGTAGCAATATACGCAACACCGCCAACATATCACCACGTTCAAGTGCAGCGGCAGCAACTGCGGGCGGCTCGTAGAAACGTGACACGTTGAGGCGGTGGTGTGCTTTGGGTTGCGATAAAGAAGCTGGCAGTCATTGAACATATAAAAGAGAGAGAAGAAGAAGAAGAAGATTGCTGCATTTAACTGACACGCTCCCGCATTTGTGCAGCATTTTTGCACTACATACGTATTTTCCAATTTTTTATTCTTTATTATTATATAAATAGCACGTGAATGTACACAGTACGAGTGTGTAGCGAATGAATTGTATTGGACTTTAAGTTAGAGACAATTACAACTTTGTGTTTGTTGTAAGCCACAAGTAATATTTAATTATTATTATTATTTTTATGTAATTAATTATGTCGAAAGCATCCCTCAATAGTATGTGGACAACATCTTGAGGAACTTTTACCATTAGAACAGAGCAGGATTTTCGAAAAGTTTGCTTAAGGGCCATGGTATTCTGTTAGTCAATTATTATTTTTTAAAGCTTACGTAGTGTTAAAATTATATTTGCGAACTGCTGTTGACATAACCATAAAAAAAAATTTGATAGCAATAAAATACAAACTCCAAAGTATGTAAAAGATATATATTATATTTAATTTGAGCTGCGTAAAATAAATCTATTCATTTAATTTCGAAACTGTTTATAGTGAACGAACAATTCAAATTTTCTTAAATTTTTTTTTTAGAAAATTTTTTAAATTCTCTATATTAAATTTCTGTAAAATTTTTTGAGTCTATATGAAAAAGAATCCTTCAAGAATTTTCGCTTATTACCGAGTTTATCAATATTTTCATCGAACGCCTAACAATTTTTCATCTTCTCAATCAACCAAACGACTTGCAACTGTATATAAGTCAAGGGTTAATAATTTAAGATTATTTATCATACAATTTTTCGTATACTATTATCGAAGTTAACAATTTTTTTGGTTTGTTTTGTGATTTACATATACGATGATGTGATTTATAGATCATCAAAATTCAATGTTTACGCGTTTCGATATTAATAACAAAAATATTTGTTTGGTCGCTAATTTTTGATCAAACCAAATTTTAGATTTTTTCAACTGTCAAACAATTTTTCAAAAGACTTTCGAGAAATGTTAAAAAGTCAATAATATTTAAAATATAGTATAAAAACCGTGTAAAGGCATTTTTGGCTTACTTTAATAAATATAATGCAACAGTATCTTTACATCATTTAAAACATATTTGGATTAACTTTAAAACATCAAATTAATACAAAAATAAATAACTATTTATACATAAAGGAAAAGTTTAAAAATTAAAAAAAAGATTAACAAAAATTTGTGAGATCTACATGTGATAATCAGTGTTTATACGTTTAGTTATTAAAAAAGTCAAATAACATAGTTATTTTAAAGGCATAAGAACAGTCTTTCAAAAAAAAAAAAAAAAAAATCAACAGCAGTCGGTTGGTCTTTGCTACAGAGAAATTATATTTTTTCTCTATATTGTTTGTTTACAAATACGCCCACCCTATAGCAAGCAAACATTTCTATTCATAATTTTGAATATTCATTTCATTTTTTTTTTTGTAAATTGTTTCTTCTGTTTTTTTAATTTTTTTAATTTTTTTGTGTAAATTTTCAATTAAACTTTTAACTGTTTCGATTCAAACTTCCAAACAAGTTTTGTGTTGTAAATGAAAATAAAAAACTTACCAAATATCGTTTTTTATGTATTTGTATATGTACAACGTAGAGTTTGGGCTATTTTTGTAAAACTTAATATTTAATACAAAATGATTGAAAATACTATTATATAACTGAAAAAAAAAAACAAAAAACAAAGCAAGCAGAAAAAGCAGTGATGAATGAATAACATACATATGTACATCTGTAGACAACTGTTAGTTTCGTAGAGATAAGAGATTTTTGTATTGTATTTTTTTAGTGAAAATGGGAATGAAGTTAATTTAATTTTTAAATAACTTTAATAATAAGAGAAGAAATGCAAAAACAATAATAGAAAACGCGCACCCAAAACCGTTTTGTATTGCTGGACTGTGTTTTTTTTTGCGTAGTGTGATGGCGTGTTGAAGCGAGTAAAAAACTATAGTGAAGTAGCATAGCGAAATTAGCAAAATAAGTTATCGAGTCTGTTTTTTTTTTTTATTTCCAGTTTTGCGTAAGATTTGTAAAAAAGCAGTTACCTTTAACATTTTTTAGCGCTTTAAAAATGATTTAATTTCGAGTACATTGTTTTTGCAATATCGTAATTTAAATAATAATCTATAGGTATGAAACGCTGAAGTGTCTTAGCAATTGTATTCTAATTAACGTATTTAACATAAAGTTAACTTTTCTTTCAATTTTATTCGTTTAACTAATATGTAAAGAATTGTTTGTTTTACTTTTATTAAGTATATATTAATAAATGGTTATTAAAGTAGCTCTTACATATGGACGAGTAATTGCACTTTGGTGAGAATATTTTAATTTTTGTTTATTTTCATTTTATATAATTATCTCTTAAAGTTAACTGTGAATAACGAACAATTTATGTTGCTATTGTTTATGTTTTTTTTTATGTATACGGAAAGCGAAATATTTTGAGAAAATATGAAATTGCCGAAAATTGCTGCTAAACACAAATTAAACATTTTCATATTACACTATTATTATATTGGACGAATGTATTTACAAAAAAAAAAAATTATATATATATATATATAAAGAAATTAATTTGAATTTCAAAAATTTATTCCTTTGGGGATTCGATACATTGTTTTGTGATTTACTTTCCGTTAATTTTTAATCATTTTATTTTTACAAAAAAAAAATTATTTTTAAAATAAGTAATAGAGGAATTAACGATTTCTCATATACATACGTATTTTATTTCAATGCTAATGGTGAAATGAAAAGATATAAATTGTTAAAAAAAATTACATAAATAAATAAGTATATACATATACATATATTATATACAAAAATGTATGATAAAAAACTGGATGTTTCATTTATTTATAAAAGCCCAAAAAATCAGTTGTTGTAGATGCAGATATTAATCGCATTCCAACTCTTCTTCCCAATTGTGGCTGGCCTCATCGACGCAATTTTTTTCGATAACTATCGACTGAATGTTGAATGCTGAAGTTCTATTAGTAGTTGTTGGTGTAGCGTAATTGGACCAGAGAGAAAGAGAGATTAGATGACTAGATTTTAAGGGGCATGCGGAGAGTTGGCTTGTCTCACGCCGGGTCTCATTGCATGCAAGACATTTGTATGTTGGATATGTCGGGCTGAAGAATGGATAAGAAGGAGCTAAGTCGACTAAAATAATTTATTTTAATTGTGTTAGTATTTATTAATTGAGTCCCTCGAGACAGCAGGAGCTTTTCGTCTGCAATAGACGGTGCTTGGATTCGGAGAACAGCTTTCATTGGAAGAGGTTTTAAGAAGATGTTGCGGACTCTCGCTAAATAGCGTATTCAGCGCTTCTCGTCTGTAGTGTGAATAACATCGCTTTGGACTAGTACTACCTTCCTGCGCAGCCTTCGGTTAATGTGCCTGTTGGCTGCTACCGACGGTGACATCGTAGCTGATATTGCTTGCTCCTTAACGCGTCACATAAATGCTTCACTGTGCAAGTGATGCTCCGACGACTCAGAAGGTTTTCTGTCAAGGTGCTGAGGGGCGGTGTTCTCAAGCCATTAGTCTCTTTAATTGCGTCTCGCTAGTTCTCGGCGAGGAGCATAACTTACAGCCGGACGGCCAATTGTCTTGTATGTTGCCAGCAACGTTTCTTTGTGTCCAAGTGTAGCTGGCGGCTATGTATTGAATTGGCAGTTACAGTGACTTCCAGTAACTTCGATCTATTATTTGTCGAAATTTCGGGCCACTGTGTTTCACATCGAGTTGGAGCAATCGTCGGCATATGAGATCAATGAAAAACCTTCTAATGGAGAAGAGAGTTACGAAATGTGGAGATTAAATAAAAGAGAGAGAAGAAAAAACCGACATTACGGGTGTTATTAAGTTGGTCACAGACAGATTGGGGACCTTGGCTAGTCTAGTTTCACTGGTTCCAGGTGCTTTCGGTTAATCTAGCTCAGTCACTTCTTCGGGCCCGACGAGACACGGTCTTAGACTGAAATTTCTACCAGGTCATCGCGTTCCATTGGTTTAGACGTCAGCGAGAGACAAGGACTATTTCTCTCGAAATACCGGGCGTAATAGCCGAGTGGTTAGCAGTATGTATAATATCCGGAAGGTCAGGGCTCGAATCAACCATTCGGATAGGGCTTAGAATATTCTGTAGGTGCCTCAATTTGTTTGGAAAAATCCATCGATGTAGTGGTCACCAAGTGCAACTTACAATATACATAGTATATATTCTATACCCCTTGAAATTTGCGACGAATACTTCTACAAGCTGGACTTGCTATACCGAATTATCGTATTTCCTGTACATACCGTTAAATGACATAGTTTTCTAGTTTAATTGCGTAGGCACCGGTTACGATATTAAAGACAGTTCGAGATCGATTGGAGACACCAACTCAATAGTTCTGCATCGCCTGATCTTCTCAACAAAATAGGGTATTCTCTACTTGCACCGGTCATTACAGTATTGCAATCTTCCAAAGCTGGAGTGCTTTCATCCATCAAATCAAGAGTCTATTATATGCCACTGCAAATGTTCTGGGTTACAGACGCACTCGATTCCCGCTGTGTTCAACGTGGAGAAAGCTGAGCTACACACAGTTATTGAGGCCATTAATATCACTTACCGAAAGGTTGAAGAAGTCACATGAGAGCCTTTCCCAAAACTACATTTGGTACTGAAGAGCTCGAAGGGTTCTAAGTTCGGAGTTAACTGTGTGCCAAAGTTCGGCTCTAATGAAAACGAGAGCGTTTAATTTAAACCCCCCCTCCCCCCCCCGCATTCTTACTTCTGAGCTTTAGCTATCATCCTATCACCTTGTAATCGATTTTCTTCGTAAAAGTCCTCATCTTCTAAAAATTCAACTGTCAACTCCATTTCACTCAATCACATTCGAACGAAGAGCAAAATAAATTCGTCAAACAGAAAAAATTTATTTTTTATAAGATAAATATTTTTTTCTTACCAACTCGAACTTCGTTAAAAATATATTTTAATAAAAAAATTTGCTCAATTTTGTAATTTAAGAAATTAACTTAATTTAAAACTTAAAAAAGAGAAACGCAATAAGAAAAAGATGCCACCAAAGAAAGGTAAAAAGGGAAAGAAGAAGAAGGAAATTATAAAAGAGGAGCCACCGGAGCCGCAAATTCCACTGTCCGATATCTCCATACACGAACACGAATTGGACCTGCTTGAGGATCTCAACGATGACTACTTTTCGGCCGCCAATCAGGTGAGCGAAATTATACAACCTAGAAACAGAGCTGCATTTTATATCTTCTTCTCTACAGACTATACAAAAACTTATGGAAGCCAGTCGCATTTACGAGGCTTCGAAGATGAAAAAATATGTGGATGTTATATTCAATTTACATCGTCGTTACGCGGATGAAGTGAAGGAGACATCCGTTTTACGTCCACAAGTGATACGCGCAGAGAATAAATTACGTTTGGCTTTGGAGCTGACGGCCAATTCTGAGGAGGCTATGGAGCGGCTAAGAGAAGCGTTAAGTAAGTGAAATCGCTGCTCTCGAAGAGATATATTCTGATTGTTGCTTTTGATGCGAGCTCACAGGCAAAGCTTGGATGGAGAGTGATGCTTCGTTACTGCGTGAACAGGACACACAAGAACGTCTGCAGGAGGTTATGCTGAAATGCGAGGGGCTTGAAAGTAAGGAAGTTAAGAAACAAGATGATACGTCGGAGTGAGTTGACTTTAAAGCAATACTTTTCACACTAAGAATTCTTGAAATGGTAGGCAATGTTCCGATTCCATAATAATAAAAATAATTAACTAGAAAATGGAAAAACAAATACAGTAAAAATTTGTCGATAAATCGATAAAAATTTTAGAAACTGTCAATTTTTCCTCTAGATTCGGACATTTAGCAAAATATAAAAATATAATTTTGCGTGAACGCGATCGTCTTAACGGTGAAGTGATCGATTTGGAGAAACGTTTGCAATTTCAGCGATACTACTCCGAGTCTCTGGAATATATAAATAAAAACAATGAAGAAAATCTTTCAAAATTAAACGCGCACATGCGCATGCTCGAAACGGAGAAGGGTAATTTCGAAGTAAAAATACGAAGCTTACAAAATAATCTCGACGATCAAAAGGAGATCAATTCAAGAACCGCCTTAAAGATGGATGCTATAAATAGAGAGGTAAATACAATTCTTAAATTAATGATAGAAAGTTCGCTCACTTTTTCGTCCATTCACATCATTCGTCAGTTAACGGAGACACAAAAGAAATTGGCAAAGAAGATCGCCGATTATGATCAGCAGAAACATACATTGGAGAAATTGCGTAACGACAATGCGATAAATACACGGCAGCTACTGAAGAATGATGAAGAGATCACTGAATTACGCAGAGAACAGCGTGAAAATGATGATCTCATTCGAACTTTGCGTTTGGAGGATAAAGTAAAGGCCAATACGATTGGACAATTAACCAAGAAATACAAGAAGACCTTACAAGATCACAGCTCCATTTCGTCGAAGCTATACAAACTGAATCGGCTAAATCATACGCTGGGCGAAGATATAACGCGTCTCAAGTGAGTAGGGGAACAACATACTTCTTCACTGCATGACATTTACAACAACAACAAACCAGCAGGACGAAGCAGTACCGTCTTGAAGTCGATGTGAAAGTCGATGTTTTAAAAACCCAAAGCCAAAGGCACTGGGAATCATATTAGACAGCCTGCTCTCCTTCGCTCCGCATATGACTGGCGATTGCCACTTAAGTACAGGTCCGCAGCAAAATCCTCAAATCCTTAGCCGCGAAAGTATCTGGGGAAAAGGCAAAAGATACGCAGATGAAGAAGCTAAAAGATTGTTAGAACATCGGTCTCAGGACAGGGATAGAAAACCTACTGATATCACTGGAGCATCATTTCCGTAGTGAAACATCTATGCTACGAGCTTCTGCTTCCCACGGTCCCCTCCCAACAGACATTGGCATCCTGAGACTGAACCTCAATCTATGAATAATAGAAAGGGAATACTAGACTATACCGATTCCACACAGTACTATAGACAATAATCGCTGGGCAGGGCGGCTTATCGATGGGCTTTGAACACCATTCACCGTAGGTCTATCAACAGCTTCAAAAGCTCTCTTCCATTGAATGACGTTCTCGTAATCCCACAATGCCTATTGTAAGCGAAGAGCTCGGAGCTGCCTTGGGAAGCCCAAGTAATACTGGCACATTAAGGTTTGAGTATTGTAGGCGACTTAGTTCCTGCCCATCCAGACTTAACCATGACATGCTAATCACTAACCTACTCATCTAACCTCCTTTCTCCTCTGATCCGTACTGTCGAAATATCGTTTCCTGCTTCTAAGTGGGGTTGGTGTACCGCTACTACAGCAACCGTAGTGGCTCATGAGAAAATCCTTCTTAAAATAAAAAAAATCTTCTCTGTTGCTTAGAAACCAAATCAATGCGCTGGAAAAGGATCTACTCAATTCCACATACAAATTCGACGAGCTGCGTCGTGTCAAAGAGAATTTGCAGCACGAACGTGAAGCTTTACGTAGCGAGATTGTCAAACTGAACAATCAAATTGCTGATCTCAAACACACGATTATGATGCAGTCGATAAATATCGATGGTCTTCAGCTGGATATAAATAAGTTGAATGTGAAACTCGATGAAGCGCGTATAAATGTATCGAAGTCGGAGAAGGAGCGCGACGAAATGGCACAAGAGGTTGAGACGCTGCACGAGCGCATCGAGTATCAGCAGGGTAAGTATTGTGTTGGATCTTAAAGGAGTAATTTCGTTAGAAAATATGGTGATGAAACACTGAGGTGAAGTTAGTTATCAAAGAAATGGAAGTCGATAGTGAATGATCGATACATTTTTTAACAATCAGCGTCAAAAATTAAAAAAAAAATTAATTATTATTTTTTTATGTTTCAAAATTCCGAAGTTGAAGTTTAAAAAAAGTCACCAATAAATTTACCGTTAATTAAAAACCTCTCTCTTCAGAACAAATTCAGCTTAAGTCCAATCAGGTTATGGATCTGAGCGAAAAATTACAACAAAAACATACATCATTAATCAACATCAAGAAGCAATTGGAGGCAGCACACTCAGAGAAAATGGTGCTCCGGCGAAATTTGGAGACCTGTACTCAAGAGCGAGACAACTTCCGCATACTGCAAACGGTAGGGAAGTGAGAAGAAGGAGGAATGAGGAAAAGAGACCACAAAAGTATTGTATTTTATATGCTCTTTACACCTTCCCCCTTTATTAGCCAACGGCTGTAAAAACTTTTCTTTGCTTCACAAATAAACTCTTCCATTGTATTCTTGTTAACTTTTCCAGAAAACCAATCATCAAACCCAACAACTCACCGCCGAAATTATGGCAAACCAAAACAAGATCACGAATCTGAATCTACAAATCGAACGTTTGAATAACGACAAAAAGGAACTGCAGTCGGAGTTGAAAAATAAAGAGAACCTCTTGGCGAGTGTGCGTCGCGATTTACGTGAAATGAAGACGAAGAATGAAAATCTACTCAAGACAATACACGACGATGAGTTGAAGTTCATGAAAATGTCCACGGAGCTTGACGAAACACGCAAAGAGAAGAATTTAATTGGCTTGCAGATGGTGCGGCGCAATGATGAGATTGTCGTGCTGCGTGATAAGCTCAGCAACACACAGACAGCTTTGGATCAAGGTGCCGAAAAGAGTTTACTGCTAAAATCCTCTCTTCAACTCAATCGGTTTTGCAGGTCAAACTCAATATAATCAGCGTGTTGAAGATATACGTTTGCTGAAGATGGAAATCAGCAATTTGCAAACGGAGCGTGACTGCTTAACACGCGCTATAAAGAGTACAGCCGATATGCGTGAGGAGATAATAAGATTACAACGTTCTTTGAATCAGGAGCGTATTAAAGTGCGTTCACTCACGGAGGATGCCAAAACGCCGACGGGTGTACATCGTTGGCGTATATTGAAGGGCGAAGATCCGAATCGCTATCAGCTGTTGGAGAAAGTCCAAATGTTGCAAAGGTGAGGAGGGAGGACGAGAGTCTTAGGCTGCGATCGAAAAACTTTAGTTCGGGACAGTATTTTTCTTCTTACTGTGATCTTAGGCCAATTTTGTTGCTCGAATGAACCAAAATGAGATCTATTTTCGTCTAGTGAAGGCTCTCCAATTTTATTTCATATTTTAAATGAGAATCAAAAAATACAGAAAAAAGTATAACTTTTCAACTTTCAGACGCAATCTAAAGCAAGAAATACAAAAGGAGAAGTTGGCGCAAGAGCTGGATGTCTCGCATCGCGTTTGTGACACGCTGAAACGCGTGGTAGAGAATCTACCAACAACAGATGTCAAGCAAAAGCTTGTGGTGACGCAGGTGAAAAAAAGATGATTAGCAGCGCTTTTGCACTCAAAATTCCTTTAAATTTTATTTACTCATCTCCATCTCCTTCTCTTTTCCTACCTACCCAAATCTTTAGCGCATAAATCGCTCGCAACTCAAGAAATTGAAAGCTCTCAGCGCCGAGCTGTCGATCAATCAAATTGAGTTGAAAGCACGCGAATGTATTATTGATGAGTTTAAAGAAACTTTAAAAAGATCAAAGCAACAACAACAGCAGCAACAACAACGAGTTTGTGAAGCAGAAGAAGAGCCCATAACACCACCAACCCAATCGGCTCTTTCAAGCGCTGTAGTACCTTATGTCTACACAAGCCAGGAGGATTATATGGATTGCATATTTGTGGAGACCAGCGACCCCAGTCAGGATCTGCAGGATCTCAAAACCGGTTTGACTGTTTAGAACAGAAAGCAGTCAATCTTTTTTATAAAATTTTTTTTTCCAAATATGGAAATATTGCAAGTGCTGGGGCTCCTTTCCCTGCCACATGTCTAAACCAAAATCTTTATAAAAAAAAAATTCTCTAAAATTTATTAGCAGGCAGAGAGAGTTTTATAAAATGCTTAGTAAATATTATAACTGTCGATGGTCATTGGCAGCTCTTTGGAGTCTATTGAATATTCGAATCTTTACTGAAGACTCGAAAATTTATATCATTCTTTTCGAATCTTCGGTAACAGTTCGTTTAATGCAATGATTTTGGAATGATTCCTTTTTCAGAATCACCACAGTACCGTATTTGAAATAAAGCACAAACATATGCACACTACAACAAAACACTTCTTTTACGCTTTGCGAGCTTGGATAGGAGTTGAAGTAGGTAAGATTTGATCTTTGATGGGAAGCCTGAAACAGAACGGGGAAAACAATCTACATCACCAACAATATTGCTCGTCACGCCAGCCTGACTTTCTTCTATCGTCTAGTAGGGGACCCAGCTCAAAAAACCCAAGATACTAGAAGAACTCCCTAGTTACCTTTACCAAAAGAAGGGTGTTCAATTGGTTTCTACAAACCTCCAGAATTATGTAACCTTTAAAACATTTTCTACTTTCATAAAAGTCCAGGAAAGAGTAGCACTCTTTTTTGTGCAATATACAGCGCTTTTCGTTGGCGATGAGAAACACTCGGCTTCAATATATTCTTGTAGCCCACTTAGGCCTGATGTGAAAAGACTCATCATAAGTAACACATCAGGCCAGCAAGCCTAAGTGGGCAACAATAACCCCAAAAACTAACTAAGCCGAGTTCCTTCCCTGATTTTCAAACCATTTAGTGCGCTTTACTAAACCCACAAGATTGCTGACGATTGCTGAAGCAAGTTCTGCATGACAAGAGAAATAAAATATGCCGGAGGCTTGGCAGTAGCCAACCACCTATCAAAAGTCTCGATTAGACAGGTTTTTATGCTAATATTTTCTTCTCTAATCAGTGGCCAGATATGATTGTTTACTTTGCATGTGGTTAGGTCAGTCCCCTTCTAGGTAACTCATCCTCCTCACTGAGATGTCTCTAGACCCGGGATCGAAACCACGCATTTTCGCCCACAGTCTCGCGTTTGTGTAAAATTTCTATGCGCCTGATTGCCATCGTTGAGATACAACACTTTCATTGGAGAAGCTTAACGGCAGGTAGGTTGTCATAATATATTGTGACTGGTTGAGTTAGCATTGCCGAATTAAGTAATCACGAAGAGGCTTCTATTAATGTATTTCTTGAAAGACAAAGAATTGGTCAGGAAGCCTCCGGCTCATTGCGATGGGTATTGAGTGAACTTCAGATCCTACGCTATTGATAAGCTTTGAAGCGTCGATGAAGATAACTTCGAAACTTCGATCCAAATCTAATAAATTTGATCAATACATTCTTCTCTGGGATAGATAAAGTGTTGATGAAAATTTAAATACCATACTTTACTGTTAATCCAGGGTTAATTGCATTGAAATATGAAAACCGCAACCTGAAGTGGATGACTTCAAGTGATTCTATTCATAGCTTCATTTCCTTTTGGTTTGAGCCAAATGTTTTCGGGAAAATAAAAGGGTTCGCTGAAGTCTAATTGCAGCGTGAGTTGGTCTCTGACGATGACAATATCTGATAAGTCGGATACGCTGCTTATGTCATGTTGTGCGAATGGATAAGAATGCTCCAGCTTTGAGAGTTTTCGACACAGTGCTCGCTGGTGGAAGCTGTGGAAAGAGGAAGATCTCCACTCCGTTGAAAACACTATATTGGAGAAATACCTGGCTGTACTGTTGGAGCTGTTGTTAACTCTGCTATAATCGAGTAACCGGTTTTTATTCTGTGGAGTTTCGGAGGTTAAGCTCTTCATGCCCTACGAATGTCCTGAATAGTTGCAATAGTTTGGACACGTTTTTCGTTCATATCGTCTTTCAGAACTCGCTTTATAACCTTGCCACTCAAATTCAACATGCGTTAGAAAACCACCGTTGGCCATCTTCTAATCCGGCGACTGCTGGAACTAATGGAGCATTTTTTGTCTGCCTCATCAACGCCTCCTTTGGTTATATTGTAGTGGAGTATCATTCCACGCTTTTTTGAATCCTCGTCAACTTCGTTATCACGATGTATTGAGGACACAAGTATCACCGCATTACGCTTCTTGGGAACATATAATCACTTAGTTTTTTGCATTGTAAAAGCAAACAAAGTTGATTGGATCTCTCGATTTTTGTGCGGCTGAAACTCAGTAGGTATTTCGAGTTTATTTCTTTCATAGTACCCACATAAGTAAGATTCTGTTTTGTCAGGGCATCAATAAGTTCTGTGTAATCGTCGGACAGATTGAATGGCACCGAGGAGCCTTATACCTCGTGAGGTCAATCCGATACCATCAGAGCCTTTTCCGGGATAAACATATTCACTATAAGAAAAGAAATTTTTGCATCACATAATACTCGTATGACCAATCCGTATTTTCCTGGTTTCTTCGGCATATACGAAATCTTATCACTTCTTCCTCGAAACTTTAATAAAATCTCATCTACGGTGACACATTCACTCAATTCGTATAGTTTTCGAGAATCGTTGACAAACTTATTGAAAATGAAGAATATAGCTGCCAATATGGTGGCCTTTGAGATGTACGCGTTAGTAGGCATCTTTGTCCATTTATAACGATATTTGCCGTAGAAAAATTTGATCTTCGTTACTGCAAAAGGGGCGAGTCGTCGTAAGAACTATCAGTGCTAACTTCCTCTTTAGTGATCTGGCTCCCTTCCTTACCACTATCATAATATGGAATGGTCTCCTCTAGATCCGTACCCTGATCACATTCATGAAACTGTAAATGTTCACGATCAGAAACTAGAAACCCTTCAATATCACCTTCGGTGTGAGGGCATTGAATTTCTCTTCGAACGGTGGATTATTTATCCTTAGTATTTTTCTCGTTGATGAACTCGTAAGTTGGGGTTTACCAGTTAAAGGTTAACTACCGAAAGTTAAAATTCAAAATGCCTCGACCGTATATCTTTTGTATATATGTGTATAATATTTTTAAAGCGTTGATAAATCTTTAGAAATGGAAAAACCTCAGAAATTTATTAAACGAAATAATGCAACGTTATGACAAACATGATTCGGCTTTCAAACCCCACTGTCTAATTTAAAGCCTGCCCCTAGCGTGCGTTGCATATTTGGTGGCGCCGAGAAGCATTGAGCTTGCATTTGTACGAGAAGTTGATGCTCCTCGAGCAATTTCTGCTTCTGCCTACGCTCCTGGTTAAGTTGGGTTTTGGCATCGGTGAGACGCGTCTTAAGTTCTACCAACTTTTGTGTATTGCTCTTCTCGTCTATATCCTTCACATGCAACTCGGCCATTAAGGCCTTTAGCTTCCGCTCCTTGCCTGAGAGTGTGGCCTAAAATGTGGGGTAGAAATAGACAAGAGAATATTATGACAAGAGAACAGCAAACTTACCTTAACATTATTCAACTCGCCGCGTATTTTATGACTCGGCAGTTTAAGCATGAACTCTTTCAAGGCCTCATAGAGACGCTGTGATTCCTCGAGCGCTTGTTCTTGTTGCAGTGCAGAGACATTATGTTGAAGAATTTGCCTGTAAATTTCAAATAATTTTTGAAACTCTCATTAAAACCTAAACACTCTCTCTCTCTCTTCTATCTCTGCTCTCTCTTGCACTCTTACTTTCGCAAAGCTTGTATCTTTAGAATGAGATCCATTTTCTCTGGATCCCGTCCTTTAAGACTGCGCCAACGGTGCACATTCATTGGTGTCATCATCTCTTCCTGCATGGCCCGGGCCTTAATACGCTCCTGATTCAGTAGTCTATGCATTTGTAAGAGCTCTTGCCGTAAATCAGCCGCATTCTCACGATCTTTACGCAACACATTGCGCTCCGTGCGCAGATTCTTAATTTCCACACGCATGAGTCGCATATCCTCTTGAGAATGTGCGTATTGTTTCTCCGTTTGATTGAAAGCTGTTTGTAGAGTCTGCAGTTGATCTTTCAGCTGAGCGCACTCTTCATGGCATTTCGTAAGTGACGAAGAGACGGTATTCTTTTCATCCCGTAAATGATCGAGCTCGCGCTTGAGTTGTGAGAGCTTTTGACTATCATCCTGTGATGAGGTAAGAGTGAAGAAAACTTTTTTTATTCAGAAAACGGGTGCGCGCCAACTCACCTGCAACGATTTCGAGTACTTATCGCATTCTTTCTTGCGTTCCTGCAGCTCAACGCGTGTGTGCTGATGCGCCAGCTGCGAGTAGCGTATCTCAGTCTTGAGCAAACGTCGTTCTTTCTCAAGCTTATCAATTTGTAGCTGCAGTCTTCCGATTTCACTGTCACGCAAAGTGACTTTATTTTTGTAAGACTCAATGCTGTCCTGCAGTTTAACGATTTGCTGCTCCAGTTTTGTGTACTTATCCTCGGAGGCTTGTAGATTACGTATGAAACTATTTTTCTCATTCAGTAGCGCGTCATATTGACGTTGGAGTTGTACAAATTTCTGTTCCAGATCGCTTATGGTGCGCTTCAATTCGATCTCATAGTTGTCTTTGAGCTGGATCTCATCTAATAAATAAAATTAAAGGTTTAGTTAACTTGGTGGCTGAGATTACCAGAGAATTATCTCAAAGCTTTGTTTCTTCTATTCCTTTTGTACCCACTTTGCAGCACATCAATTTTGTCTACCAAATGTTGTATCTCGTCCACCTTTTTCGTCTTCTCCTTCTTCAACTTTACATAGTCATCTTGTGTCTTTTTCTGGCGCACTTCCAAGGTCTGTATAGTTTCCTTCAGAGACTTAATCTCATGTTGTGATTCCTGAAATTGTTCATCCGTTTGTTCGGCGGTTTGATGTTCGGCGAAAAGCTCAGTTTTCAGCGTGTCTCGCTCTTTGGTAAGATGCTCATTATTCTTTTCAAATTGATGCACGATGCGTCGCATAGACTCTAACTCCTTATCCTGTGTACTTAACTGGGTTCTACGGGAAAAGTACGATAATTTCGATTGAAATTTTAAGCTTCTTTGATAAAACTTACTTCAGACGCACGTTCTCTTCTTCTGATTTGATGCGCGCATCATTTAACGCTGCATATTTCCGAGTTGTGTTCTCCTCGGACTTGAGTAGCTTTGCATTCTCACGCTTCAGCTTGATTATTTCATCCTCACGCATCTGCAAAGCAAGCACAGCTCAATGCTGAAGACCAACACTCTCGTCTCCCTCTCTCTCTCTCTCTCTCTCTGACTTACCTTTAACAAACTAATGCGTTGTGTCAGCGCTCGTTTATTCTCATCTCGTTCTTGTGTCGCATACTCCAACTCCACAACAGCTTTTGCCAGTTTGTTGGTGGTGGTGTTGTGTTGCGTATGCAGATGTTCCAGATTGGTCTTCAGCGAGAGTATTTGTAGATTTTGTCGCACTTTCATTTTGGTAAGCTGTTCATTGTGCACTTTGATTTGCAGAATTCTCTCTTTCGCTTTAGTCTCTTCGCTACGTGTTTGAGCGAGCTCCTTCTCTACAGTATCCAGGCGTTTACGGTTATTGTATGCTTCGTTGGATGTTTCCTGTAATGATTAGGGAAAGTATATATATACATATATATGTATAAATATATAAATAAGTTCTATGCATTTAGGCAGAGTATTTACGTTACCTCGAGTAGTTTAACCAAAGCCTTGTTCTTTTCCTCAAGTGTTTGTGTCATGGTCTCCACCTCGCCGGTATATAGCCGTTGTATTTGTAGACGTTTGTTGAGGTCGCGAATCTCATTATTAAGTTTCTCACGTTCCTTTTGCTCGTCGCGCTTGCTGTGGGGTTAGACAAGGCTTGAATGCATAACGATTTGTACAGTTATAGAACATGAAGAAATATTCATATAGAGTGTTATATAGAACAACTGGAAGAGAGAAGGCATGTGGAGGAATCGAGAGAAAAACTTTTTCGAAGTCTGGTGGAAATTAAACTCTTCTGTTGAGAGCGATTGAGTTCTAAAGTTGCTATACAAATAGTGAGGAGGAAACGTGATTGATTAGGGAGATGTGAAGACTTCCAAGCCCAGATTTAGTTGTGAAAGATGGAGAAATCCTTTGTTAAAGATCTTAAAACTCACGGTGAGAGCGCTGAGTGATCATTATTTATTCAAATCCTTGTAAAAAGGCTTGCGCTGTTCTCTGATCTTGTGATCTTAAACTCTCGATATTTAAATTGGCTCATTTACAAACGTGTAAGCATTACACCGAACGAGACTGCTCTTTAACATTGCTCTAGCTAATCTAATCCTATATTGACGATCTGTTTCAACTATATAAGTAAATTGAGTTATAGCTGTGTTAGGCTCTACAATGTATATCATTTCGGATGTGGTGAGAAGTTCTATGGATAAATCACTGAGGATTTGGAGCATAAGTTCTTGGTCTCATTTGGAATAAGCACGTTGCCTGTGCTTTGGCTCCAAAATTTTGATAACTGTCCATTTACACCTCCTACCTTTGTAAGCCAGATCGCTTATCGCTTAAATGCTCCACCATCTGCTCGAGCGTGTCCATTTTCTCTCTCATCTTCAGCATTTCATCTTGCGCTGTCTGCTCTCGCGTCTGAGCTGCGTCCTTTTGCATCCAGGCGCTTTCTGAGTGCCACAATAAATATAAGTGCTTATAACGGAATATTATCTAAGCTTCAGAAACTCACCGATCACAGTCCGTAGCTCTGCTATTGTCGCCTGATCCATTTTACTCATTTTGTTTACTTGATTGAGACGTTCCTTCAATTGCTGTATCTCATCGCTAAGCTCCTGACAGCGCAACTGCTCCATATGCCAATCCGATTTGTAGCGATTTGAGCAAATCACCATTCGCTGCACATTGTCAGCATTATCGTGGGTGTCCTTTTGACGGAGCGCTTTTGTGATCTATAAAAAAATATTATGGAAAGCATTTTTAGTAAAACGAAATCTTAAAAACCAAATAAATATAATAAAATTTTTAAAACCACATAGAATTAAATACAAAAATATAAAATCAAATAAAACAAAATAATATATATATATATCCTTGTGTGGACGGAGAAGAAAAATGCCTAACGCATCTTTATTGTGCCACTTGTAGGTCACTAGAAAAATCCTCTCTGCGTTACCTTAGCCTATCCTGTACAGTGGGAGATTTACATCTATCCACCTTCGTCCGGATTCCACCTTTTTGCCCTTCGCACTCGTTATATAAATACTTATTTTTTTTTCCCAGCTTCTTTCATGAGTGAGATGCATTTAGTGGTCCGACCGTGTTTTCAAGCCAACTACGCATGCGCACTTAAAATATGTATGGTCTCTGTTCTCTTCATTGGTAACACGGCTCCTCTGCATTTTCTATTTTGTGTAAATATTTCTGACAGCATCCATGCCCGGAGAGCATCTGTGTGACATAGTAATCCTCACCTCTGAATTTCATGTTAGTCTATATTTGGATATTTGTTATTAAACTGGCCGTCAATCGGCCCCAGTTTTCCATAGATCCGCTTTTTATAGTTAAACGCTGACAGTTGTCGACACCACGACTATCCTCTTTTCCTGTGTCGGTCCACCGTTATTGGTCATGGCGTGCTGGATTTCAGAAAATAGATTTGTGTGTTCTTTGCAGTACTTGCAGGTGGAAGCAGAGGAAGTGAAAGATCTCCACTCCATTGAAAAGACCAGATAGAGAAGGACCTGACTGTACTTGGTGTCTCCGGTTGGCGCTGAACAGCGAAAGAAATAAATGAATGGCGCAAAGTTATAAATTCGGTTATAATCACGAAAGTGGTGTATACGCCAGTAAAGAAGAAGAAGCGTCTTGGGTTCAACCTAGTCAAAAAGTTAATTTTGCAGTTTCTCTTTGGAATTCTTCGACGCTTTTGTTACAATTTTCAATTGCCCCTGGAATTGATCTTCCAGATCTGAAGCCATAGCGGTTTGATCAGAGGCCTCCAGTGGCGGTGATGGCTGCTACTGCTCTCGGTTTAAGCAGTTTATCTTGAAGAATGTCTTGATTTCCTTTCTTTTTGCCAATAACAACTTACTTTTATCTTTTCCAGACTGCTGGCAATTGGCCGGTGTTGAGGCAGGCATTATACATATCCTGAAGTATTTTAAGACGCCTCACTGCGACATTCTTCGACACTTATTTAAGCCTGGTGATCTTATTGCTTTGAAGTGCTGCCAGTAGCTAATTTTCGGTTGTGAAAAGAAGTATCTCCAAAGAAGCTTTCCCCTGTCCTGATTTTTCTCACTGTGTGTTGGGAATATAGTGTTGACGATCTGGTCCATTTTGCTTGCATTTAATTCGGGAGGTGCTGTCCCAGCTCCAAGTTTTTTCATTACAAATTTTTCCAAACTGCCAGGGATTCATATTTAAGTCATTGCGTACTTCCTCCCACTTTTCCTTCTTACTAGCTTCGATGGCTCGCTTAAGATATTTCCTACAAGAACGTTTTTGTCTACAACGGAGAGTAGCCCTTTGGCATCTATTGCTTTGTGCCGAACTGGCTTGGGACTCTATCGTAATTGATCTAGTGATCACTACTATCTGCTATGAAATAATATAAAAAAAAAATAAATCAAAATAAAATTAGACAAAATAAATTAAGATAAATAGAATAAAAAATGAATAATTTAATTCAAAAAAACCAAATTATTTAAATCAGTTTAAATGATAATTTACTTAGAATGTCAAAATTTAAGTTATCTCGGGAAAGCTTTTACCTCTGGCACTTTGTCCATTAAATTCGTATAGAATTCATCATCGAAATCTTCGGGCACCAAAGGCTCGTCATCGGACCCGGAAGCTCTGGAACCGGCGCTCATTTTATTTTATTGCCTTTTCTAACACTTTTAATTATTTTACTGAAATTTGCTCTTTTAAACTGGCTTTGTTCTTAATTTCTTATTCGGAAAATCTACTCGAAATTGTTTATTGACTTAATAGTTAAAAGTTTTGCGTTGTTGCCAATGCCGGCATTATTTGCTTGCTTGTTGCTCTTGGCCATAGTAACGTAGCAACTGTTGCTTGTTTTTGTTTACATTTGCTACCATTGTTTTTGATTTTGGTGCTGCCTATGCATAACCAAAAAGTTTCAAGGAAGTGTTATACATTTCTTTACACTCATACATAATTAAATGCCCACGAAACATTTTTTCACAGGCAATGCCTTAAATCTAAGCCCGTACAAATATTTTCTGCAGTCAGTAATCGCCGCAGCAACAAGTGCGAAGCTCTTTTTATACGAACTTATTATGTAGTAGATTTTAAAAAGCGTAGTGTATCTGAAAATTTCGTAGTAGATTGCACGCTTAAACTATTTCAGTTAGAAGCCCAATTTACGTGAAGAACTGTTTTTAATTTATAAGCCTTGTGTGCCTATCTGCTGGGTTTATATAAAAAAAAAGTAAAAAATGGGCAGAACTACTAAGAGCTGATATTTTTTTTGTTTTTTTAATTTTTTTATTTTTATTTTTTACCAAATCTCCACATTGCTAATGTACGATATTAACATTGTGTGAAGCTTTTAGGTTAAGAAGTCCCGTGCAACAAGTTATGAGTGTAGGTGCGCGGCTTGATTGAGGTCTTGTAAGAGTCTGACAAGAAAATTGGAGAAATTTGCTTCCAAAGTGGGTTGTCACAGAACAATGAGGAGAACTATCTAAAAGCGAAGGCCGATGTTAGTGGGACATTCCGTGCCTATCAACGCAAATAACTTATTTTGCCTGGAGAAGAAGACTGAATTAGACCGCGGTGTAGCCAGAAGAAGACTGTACCAAGTTTTGACTGCAAAAAATCAATTATTCAAAGGCGAGTGTTGGGAGCCTGTACACAAGCTACCGAGTCGACATATACACGAAAAGCTGGCTTTACAGAAAAGCTGAAACTTTAGGCAGTTGATTTTTAAATGGCGACTTTTTCTGCTATAAAGTAGTCTCGCCAAAGGCGCCAGTTTCGAAATCATTAAATATATGATTCACTAGCCAAAGCCCGCCGGGAACAAACTGATTGAACCTTGCTAGTGTGGCTTTGGACCCTATTAATCCACTATTGATCAGATGCTCACTGTGCTTGGAATAGACTCAATAAAAGACGACCACGCCTCTTCGTTGATTTTAAGGCTACCTTTGACAGCGCGAACAGAAGCTCTACGACGCTATGCCTCAGTTTGGTAGCTATATACGGCTGTACGGTGTTAAGCAACACCAAAAGCTCAATCAGGATCGGGAAGATTCTTTCCAAGCCGTTCGATATCAAAAAGTCGTCCGCTGCCACGTCACTGTTGACAGTTACAATTTCGAACATAAAATCTTCTATCTTGGAACCAGTAATTAACACCAACAACAATGCATATCTGGAAATTCAACGCAGAATCACTCTTGCCTACCGGTGCTACCTTGGACAATTGAAAAGTAAAGCCATCTCTCAACAAATCAAAACTAAACTCTACAAGGCCCTGGTTATTCCCGTCCTCTTATATGACGCCGAGGCATAGACGATAACAAGATCCGATGAGTCGCGGTTGGGAGCTTTCAAGAGCAAAGTGTTGCGAAAGACTTGGTCTCTTGCGGTTGGCAAAGATATTGCCGTAGTGAATCCACATGACAGCGGTTACATTGGTTGTGTATCGGATATGCTATACGGATGTAGGGGGATTTCGAGATTATTCGATGTAATACCCGCCAATGGTGGCAGAGGAAGACAAAGACCACCAATCCGTTGAAACAATCAGGTGGAGGAGAACCTAGTTGCACCTGGCGTCTCCAATCGGGGTCAAATGGCGATTGCCGCGGTGTTGTTTGCTCAGCTATAATCGCGTAAACGGCGTCCACGCCAGTTAAGAAAGAGAAGAAGATGCACTGATCAAGATTCTTGGAGGCATACTTTCACACGGGGCTTATGCGAATGAGAGGCAGTTTGAGACAGTTAAACAACTTAAAGAGGCTTTTTTATGGCTTGGCATGAAATTGGATATTTAAAGTTAAACTGTTGATGGGCTCCATGGAATTTCCCTGAGTAATACTTGGCTGGACGAAGGGGGAGTAAAGGCAATGTTAGGGCGTCGGAAAACAAGACAATGCTGACTTGGAGTAAGCGGATACAGCTTCTTAGCAAATACACTACCCAAATTTTATTTTTTTTAGATTTTAAAAATCTTGCATGGACAATTTTAATTGAAATTTTTTTGGAAATTGCGCACTTTTTCGGATTAGTTTATTGAAGATGAAGTTCGAGCACTGGCTTCGTGGCTTGTCTCTATTTGGGCTCATGTCTGTCAAATTTGTTTTCCTGCAACGCCAACTATGAGATAATGTCGTTTCTTAATGATTTGCTTGAGTGACTGGTTGGCTCGACTATTTGCCACGAACACACAAATGACCATAAGCAAAGCCTTTTCTTGCTTGGACGTACATGCACATACATACGTGTACATACATATGTATGTGTGTAATATATACGAATGTACAGTGTATAAAGAGCTGTCACGGAGTCGCTTGCAGCTAAAGTACACTGTTTGTTGTTTTTATACACATACATATGTGAATGTATTTGTACACATGTATGTAAATCTGTATATGCACTTTTGGTGTTGGCTTATCTTTTGTACCAATTAACTTATTGGCATACTCCACATAGTGACAAGCAGTGTTGCCATTGTTTTGCTGAGGGCGCAATTTCTGAACAATTTCAACGGTGATACTGATCGCGCATGGGAAAATTTTATTTGTAAATGTGTTCGTTCATATTTCAGTTTGTGCTCCCACGAGTTCATTTCCGCTTTAATAAATTGCTGGTAAGTGACAAAAACTTTACTTATCTTCCCTTCACTTTTGAGTAGTTCAGTTCCCATAATCTGGGGTTTATTATATAGAATACGTACGTATATATAACGATGGGGGTTTATAACCGCTGAACCGCTTTTCGTCCCAGCACCAATTAACGATGTTCTTGATGTTTTTTTCTACAAAAGAACCACATTTTATTGTAAGCCGCCTTCGAATGGCCGATCTATCTCGGTAATATACTCGGAGGAGTAGACTAGTCAAGGTTCAAACCCATACCACTCCGCATATTAGTACGCGCTGCGAGCCTCTCGCCTAATACGTCCACCTAGGTATGTTAAATTGGGATGGTATTAGGTAGAATGCAGCTAATTAAAGGAGGATAATCCAACTTCCATCATGCAGCCAGGAGCAGCTCAGACTGTAATAATTGGCGACTGGCTCTCTTCCACTTATTTAACTTTAAAGAACTTCTCGACTATAAATATGGGCGATACTCCAACCTTGAATAATAGACGGCCAAGGAAAGTTTATGAAGAAATAACTTTTAAAAGTATTACGATAAACCTAATATTAGACCTGAGCTGAACTCTCGATGTGCCTTGACAATACCCGTACCTGAATAAATATTGGCGGTAATTTACCATATTCTCAATACCTGAAAAATTGAGCTCCAAAGCGGATATTGACACAGAATAAATGCCATAAACATCTTTAGTGCATCTCTAACCTAAACAAACCTTCGTTGACAGCTGAGCTAAGCAAATAACTCCCGAAGGAAATTCAACAAATGCGATCGCTTTAATATTGTTAAATGCTGAGATGATTACCAGACCGTGTATCGAATGGATAAATTGTTTAAATCATCCGGTTCCGTACCAGTTAGCGGAGAGAATTGCTTCGGTGTACACTGTGAGGCCAAGATAGCCGGGAGGATTATTAAGTTTCCAAAACGCCCGTAAGGCTCATCAGTTTTACTTCCTTCTTATTGAAAAGTATGGCAAGAACACCTGAGCGACTGTCATTCTGACAGCTTGCATACTACATTCAGTTGATAATCGGAGCAAAGAACACTTTTGCGGCATTCATTGACATAGAGAGGGCTTTGATCTCGTTAATTGTCTCATTTGGGATCAACAAAAACTTACTTGCCTGGTTGAGCCAAACGTTAAGCAATAGGCGGGCTGTATATAAAGCGAAATGTGTTAAAATCTTTCACAAAACCACATGCGGCACTCCACGATGAGACACCTGCTTACTATAACCATATACAGCGGAGATCTTTAAGTCAGTATGTTATGGATGATCTTATCAACGTATCCTCTGGCAAACATCCGGAAGTTCTCGTTATATTCATAGAGGTAACTACTTTAGACCTTGACTCCTTTTACAACCGTTACGAGTATATCCAGAGCAAATACATGACATCCATAGTCGCTGTGTTTCAATAGGAATCAGTTCAGTTAAGCCTTGACAACAGTTTTCGTGACACCTTTTCTTTTTATTAAAAAAATTATTTATCAAATATTTAGTATAGTTATAGAGTTTAGGTCTAGGGCTGGACTTGTATGTATTGATACAGCTACTTGCAATGGTTCGCCGTGGCACATACTCTTTGAATGTAGGACAAATGAAGCTTTTAACATCTTTTTGGATAATTAACTGTCTCAACTGTTTCTACAACATTGTCTATTGATTTATTCGTTTGTTGCCACGAATTGTCAGATGATATCGGATAACCTTATCCTAATCCTTCCCGAAATCCGGTCATTTGGAATTTTGCCGTTCCCCACATCCAGTAACCGTCGTGAAAATTCATGAGCCGATGGATCATTTTGCCGGTTGACGCGCATACAAGTGGTTAATTTTAAGGAAGCACTGATCTCTTCCGCTGTTGTTGAACAAGAAAAGGTAGGCAGCGCTGCTGTGTAAAAATTATAGTCGGCCGGTAACTTTTCGAGATATGCGGAGCTTTACAAATAAACGTAAGATTTTTTTATATATATATATTAATCTATCTATTTATTTTTAAATGTGGGTTA